TCTGGAGTGAATCTGTTCCCTGCTGCCTGTAAATGCTATTAGAACCATCTCCATAGCAACTAATGGTGATACTCAAGAAAAGTGTTACCAAAGTTTCAGATAAAGAAGTAGATCATTAGAATCCCTTAGAAAGAAGGATGTATGTTTATGTAGATGGAGCTGATAAGTGGAAGGAGACACAAACAGTAAAATAATCAGGGCACTGATGCCAGCAAGAGTAAAAGCATGATGTGATTACTTTTTACAGTCACCTTGGAGTCATTGCACTCTTTAATTGATGGCAGAATGCTTTTTATCTTCAAAGAGTTTAGGTGCTGGGTTTGAATCTTGGTTATGATAGGACAGATTTCTTTTTGCAGGACAGTCTAAACTAGTCAACAAAGAAAGCAGGTTTAGTTTATTTTCTCATCTGTGTATTACTAAGAATTATTACACTTAACATCACAAACATTAATATTTACCTCATTTTAACAGCTGAAATTAAATTATCTTAAAAGTCAAGTTCTGTTTTGTCTCTTTAGGTACACAACTCTGATTAGGATGGTTTTGAACATCTTACATTATTCATGTCAAAAACTGCTAACGAGTATCACTAATATTTACAGTTCCATTGCCAAATTACTCTGTATATTACATGCAACTTTACTGGTAAAGCAGACTTCCAGACAGCTTGTGAGCACCTCCTGGGTAAAAATCATGCCATGATCATGAAACTGGTAGACGAAGCTTTGTTTTCTGTTGCACAGACCTTTGTAGAAGAGAACAACTCAACTCTCACTGACTATGGTAAAAGTTGAGGGTCTCTTGCATCTTAGCCATTTTAAATAACAATGAAAATATGAGTATTTAATGCATTCATCATACATAAAATGAAAGGACACAAGTAATGGAAAAGGAGCAGTGCTGCTTCTGGAGAGGGCAGTCTTTCAAAAGAGAAAATATTACCTCTGCAGAAGAGAAGGCGATGTCACTACTTAGTGATAAAGAAGCATTCTGCCTTAATTTGAAAGGACCTGCCTAATGAGCCATGCTTGGCTCCCTTAGACAAATTTATTACTCTCACTTAACATGGACATCATTATTAATTAGGCAAGCAGGAGTCATACCATCCTGTCAGCAGAGATGCTGGATTACCCTGAAGCTGGGTGTAAGCCAAGGACTTTCCTCACAGCCCATCCTTCAGCAGCACTACTTTCCTTCCAGTAGGGAATTAGCATACTGATACAAGTTTTGTGACTGTTCCTCTTCAGAGAATCTTTATTAATTCACATTGAGAGCATCAGAGACAAATGGTACAGCTAATCATTAGCAGTATGAAAGAGTTCTTAAAAAAAATCAACACAAAATTGGCTCCAGTCCATCATTGACTAGTAAGTGATTATAAAAATATAGGGTCATAGCAGATTCTTAAATGGGTAGAATGGCATTTTATATTTTAGCTGAAATAACCATTTGGTAAAAGTTAGTTAATGAAGATGCCTGCTTAATCCAGACCTGTCTTTGAGACTTCTGACAAGTTTATCTTAAATTTGCAGAGGCTTTTGGACAATTCTCAGTTGGATTCCTAAGAAAAAATTTTGCTTCAAATGCCTACTTTTACAAGGACATTTGGATAGCTATCTTTTAGCTACATATTGTCTACATATTGTTTCCTGCAGTTACCCATTGTAGAAATGGAAACATGGTTAGATCTGTGAATTTGGAATAGAGATTTCACTTTTTAAATGCCTGAGAACAAATGAAAAACTAAAGGAAGATCTTGCAGCAAAAAGGAACAGAAGCAGTACTAAGGGGAGCCTTGTACCAAATTATTTTTACAAGCAGAATGAAATACCACTAAGAAGGAAAGGAATACCTCATATGCTTGTCAGCAATTTTTTTAAAAACTAAAGTACATTTAATTATATTTGACTTGAACTTTTCCTACCACGGACTTAACCATACACATGGATCTATCACAAGTACATACATTAGAACTAGTCAAAAAATGAAATTATTATTCTGTGGAAAATTATTATTTCTGTGGACATGTTGCATTTTGGTTTTATTCCAAATAAGAACTTCACAAAATGTAGATTCAACTAATTAATTAGTACATTGTGTGTGGTGTTTGTCACAATATGATGTAGGAGTTGAAATATTCTAAAATTTTAATATGTAAACCACTGAGGGGAAATGCTGCCTAGTATTGATTAGATCTTTTCTAAATCAAAGAACGTTCTAATTTTCATATTTAAATAGCAAAAACACGGATTAATACTGTAGATCCCATTTAGCTCTTCTTTCTGTTTTCATCCTCTAGGTTTGATGTAATGCTTAGTAAAAACTAGTACAAATATTGCTAGCAATATTGATAATAAAATACACAAGCTTTTATTTAATCACTTCAAAGACGTTTCTGAGATTTTTATATTTTTCAAACACATTTTAACAGAGATCAATCTCAATAAAACTTTTAACATTTCATTTTTCACAGTCTACATGACAACTCATCCCTTTTTCATAGCCAGCATATTCTTCTCAATAGGAAAAAGCCTGTGAGTATGGGAGAGTCTAACAATGTGATTTAAAAGCATCAAACCTTAACTGTGCCCAGCTAAATAGAGATATGCATTCTGGAACTGAGCACTGCACTAAACTTCCTCCCATTCAAAAACAAGGACTATAACTTCAATTGCTTTAATGACAGTGATCCTGTGATCTCACATAGTGCCATAGTCTTTCAAATAAGGTTTAAGAGTTTGCATTAGTAATAATTCATTGTTCTCTACTGACTGTTGTCAAGAATAGGTGAAGATGAGTTTAAAATATTTTTAGTTTCTTCTGAGGTTGTAACTATGAAGAACTAAAACCTTCCCTCGGAAAGATATGTACCTTACACACAAGTTTTGTCAGACCCCATGCTGACTAGGTCCATTTGATTATGGACCAACAGGCCCATTCAATCAGGTGTAGCTCTGGGAGCATTATGAGTTTAAGAGCCCACTTAAGACCTGTTAGAGAAGTGCTGTTATACTATACAAAGTAGCTTTTCTTCCCTGGAGGAGCGAGGGTCAGCCAATGCTTTTACTTATCCAGTTCCTATTGATGGGGTTTGTATAGTTAGGTGCTGGATGGTGTTTTATGTTGCTACACACATCCACAAAATTAAACATTTGTCACAGTGCTGTTGCTCTGTGCGCTTTGAGGCTGAGTGAGCATGCAGTAGAGCATAGGTGTCATTAACAGCAACCTAAAACTTATGACCTCTTTTTTGAGTGCTGGTCAAAACATACTGTGAGCAGAACTGACTTTAGCAGAAGGGCCTGAGTGGAAAGAAGAAAAAAAAAAAAAAAGAGGCAAAAGTATTTGCCATAGGACATAGGCTATTATTTAGCTACATCTAACTAGTTCAACTACACAACCCTCTGAACACTCAGAAAAAAAAAAAAAAATCTGTGAGAATATTAATTTTTTGGGAAATACTGTTTTTAAGATCTAACAGCCTGTGTTCATGCTGATTTTTCCATCCATAACTTAATGCTATTGAGCTACTAAGCCTAGGACTTGATGAAAGTAAGGAAGGCGATTGTTCCACAGTGACTGGTCATTTTAAAATCTGAGCAACTCATTTTTATGACGGTGATTGCAAAGAGAGGGTATGTTGCCTCCATATCTGATTCTTCTAGAAACTGTAAAGCAGTTTTGAACCAGGAGCATTCATGAATGCAAGCTGTACTGGCTTTCTTGAGCAGGTCTGTCACCTGTCTACTGAATGAAAAGAAAGAGGAAAACAGTGCTTACTCTAGCATTGCCTACTTATCTGCCTGAAAGCAATAGTTTCATACAGATTCCTCTTTTGTATATTTCCATTCTTGGTCAGCTTTAAGGTCCTGGTTCTCTGCCCCAGAGAGAGCTGGCTTGAACAATGCAAGGTGTTCTTCCAGCTTGTATCAGCTGGTTATGGTCCCCTCAAGCTATTCAAGTTGTGTGTAACCAGAAGGCAATACTGTCCTGTGAGTCTCATTTACTGATCTCAACTGTGCCCTCTGCTATGGGGTAGCATTGTGGAAATTGTGCCCAAGCTACATATACCCAAATTTCCAGATGTATTTGCAAGGGCACCTGGTGAGCTTGTGGCTTGTGACAGCTGCTTTGCCATAGTAGGGACAAAATTAATTAAAAGTGTTTCTGCAAGTGTATGTTTCACAAGGATGAATTGCATGCCAGAATTTTAGCACAAGCATCCTGTATTTAAAAAAAAAAAAAAAAAAGGAAAAACATTTTACTGATGGATTTCCTGATTAACTTGGTTATTCTTTGATTTAGTGCCAATTATAAATGCTAGCAATCATTAAATATTTATTACCTGATATCCATTGTGTGGTGGTGTGTTGAAAGTAAAGCCAAAAGTAACTTCCTTCTCCAGGTCCAAAGCCAGCAACCTAACCACTGGCAGCCACTATAGTCTCTATTGGCAGTATGCAGCTATAGACAAATTTTGTGTTGGATTTTGTAAGCCACCAGAAATATGAACTTGTTTTGTCTAGCTTCTATAAGGAAAATAGGACAGATAGACTTTTCATACTGCTCAAATAAATCTCTTGCTTCCTTCGGCCAGCCTTCCAGACTAGGGTGGGTGAATCAAATAGGTCAGAGGAGCTGATATTTGTGTTCCTCTCACTTGAATAGAAGGTGGACACATTTTATAGAATTTATCTAATTTAAAAGTGCATAGCTGATAACATTTTTGAGAAGTGATTTGTTAAAATATTGGAAGTTATACCAGAATCGCTATGTTGTTCTGTACCATTCTGAATATAGGTGTCCTGTTTAAAATTCATTGAAATGTCAATGTTTAGACCAAAGCCCTAATTTTCAGTTCCTCAGCTCTCAGTAGTTACTACAATGTTTTATTATTAAAGATGCCATTTAAAAATGCTAGGTTTGAGGCATAGATGTTTGCAATGAAAAATATTAATTGATGTATGCCAGATTATATAATTTAATGTTTTTATCAGGACAGTGATCTACTGGACCGACGGAAACATTGCTTCAGTGTCCAGTCTGAGTCTGGAGAAGATCTTTACTTTTCTGTGGAGCTAGAGTCTGACCTAACACTATGGGAAAAAGCCTTCCAAACAGCAACTTTTTTAGAAGTTGAACGGATACAGGTGAGAACAACTGCCTTGATGATTACCTTTTGGTACATTAACAAATTAGGTCTATGTGCAATTTAAGAAATTCTCCGACCTTCTGCAGCTCTCAAATTATTATTGTTTTATGTATGTAATTCCATAAAAACCCTTTTGGTGTTCCCAAAAAGCTTGCAATCTAACCTTCAGAGGAGATTACCTCAAATACAATCTTGGAGTTATTATGACTAGGTGATACATACTTGTTAACTAAAGTTCATGGACAGAAGAGAAAAAACAATCTATAAATCAGGGACAAAACCAGCTGTTTAGATATTTTTACATACTGTTTTACATGCTACTTTATTTGTTATTGGATAACATAAGAGAAGATTGCAGGAATTAAATTGTCCTTATAATAATCAGGAATGCGAGTACACCAAGTGAGAGTACTTACTGGATGCAAGCAAGAACAAAATTGTACCTCAAATACATTATTCTTTTTTCACACATTTCTTGTTTCTTGTGTATTTACTCGATTGTCAGATGACAGAGCAGAGATGGATGACATTCAGGTACAGATTACTAGCAAAATTTTATAGCAAAATTACATATCGGTGTGTTTAAAGATAAATCTGTTTTTCTTACATGACCAAAAAGTCATGGGTTTTTTGTTTAAAATAGGAGAAAAAAAAATCCCACCACAATTATAATTCACCTAATCCTAGTTGTCATATTGATGTACAAATCATAAAAAAATGTATGTGGCTGGAACAGCTTTAGTTGATGTTGCCATGAGTTACTCTGTATACACACCTACAAAAGTCGTATTAGTGTATTAGCCTCTTCATGTATTGGCTAATGCTCACTTTCCCTGCACTCATTTTTTGCATCCTTCCGGGAATGCAAGCTCTGACAGTTTTTTATTTAGACAAATTGCTGGTTATATATTAGCCCTCTTCTGACCTATAAACCAACACACGCAGATGGACTGAATTAGTATATACTAATGATGATCCATTTTGCAAAAGCTACACTGCTGTCAATTTTAATGCATATTACCTTTGTTGGAGAAGGAGTTGCAGAAGGTTCAAGTTTTATCTTTACGTTCATGCACTCTGCTGCCTTTTACAGGAGCTATTCTTACCTTTTGAAGTCTGATTGTTGTGCTGAAATATGTAAGTGTAGTTTTTCTGTATAAAAATTGCATCAATATATAGCCTCTGCTACTAAATATTTGAGATGCTTTGTCTTTCTTATATAACTGACTGCAACATTGTTTGTAGAATCACTACTGTGCCATCAGTAAAAGCATATGTGGCAATTTTCTTGAATAACTTTTAGCGCTGAAGCCACTTCATATTTGCTCTTCTCTAATATTGATTCATACGGTAGGATTCCTAGTTTAGAGTTTTCTTTTGGGTTTTAGAATTGCATTTATTCAAAATTGCTCCCATGTTTCCCAAAAAGAATTTCCCTAATAATCTTAACCTCAGATTAATCTTAACATTTCCACCCTTCTTTTCACTCTACTGATGTTCAGAGTAGCAATTATGAACTCAGCGTAACAATTTCCTGAGACTGATTGATTATAACAAATCTGTGAAGGTGGACAAACAGGCTACTCATGACAGATTATTATTGTGGAACTCACAGTTATGGTTTCACCTTTTTTTCTTTATTTTCTTGCCTCTCTATATCTCAGTTTGGAAAAAAAAATAGAATATTAATTTTTAATATAACTGGTCTTGGCCTCCTCATTTTTCTTTCAGCAATCTGTTACTGCTTTCATCCACCAATTTGCAGATTCAAATAAAATCTGGTTTGACTAAGTAGTGGTATAATTTGTCTCTGACAAATTCTTTCATTGCTGTGTGAGAAAAAAAGGTGACACGTTCAAAATCGAGATATCAACTGTACATTTTTACTAAAATTGTGGTTTATGCAATCAAAATCATATGAATATTCATATTTTATGTGAATGATAATCCAGCTGTGTGCAGGTTTGTCTTACTATGAAATCATATAATTTTGAATACATAACTGCAGTTTAAAACTGTCATTTAAAATTATTCAAATGTCTTGTGGACTATTCCATAATCACACAAATAATAATGGAGTTCCTCAATGACTGTAAATTGGCATTAACCTCCATGAGAGGCTAATCACGGCCCTATTCTGATGTAATTCTAAAGAATACATTACTAATTAAAATATTTTAAAAATGTTCACTATAAACATGTAAAACATTTTTAAGCCTAATTCATAGCTTCTGCCAGAGGTATATCTAAAACAAAAGGTTTTTTTTAGGAAAAATATGTATTAGAGGAGAGATAGTCAAACTGATAATAGTTTAGCAATAATATGTGGTACAATATTGTAATGGTGCCATTGTGATGTGTTACAGTCACTCTTTAGTTAGTTTTCTTTAGAGTAGTAAGGGATGCTAATCCATTTTCATAATTACCTATTAAAAGAAAAAAAATTTAGTTGAAATGGAGTTCCTTTTTCCTTACTATCTCACAGCATTGTTATATGAAGAATCTGAGACTACTACAGCTTGCATAATGATGTGCATTTATATATGATTGCCAGGTTCCCTTTGTGTTCCTGCTACTTTATGCTAAAATTTCACCACTTCCATCATGAACTTTTTTCTTGCTGTCCTGTTTTTTTTTGTATTGTAGTTGTTTGTTCCCTAATATAAGGATTATTGTGTAAGCTGCTTTGTGTTACAGCACTTTTAACATCTGTCTCCACTGAAGTTGAATCTGAGTTTGAAAGTCTGAATTAAATCTTGGACTTACAGTATGGTTTCCCTTAGCTTCATTGATAGCTTACACTAGGTTTTCGACATATCATTCTTTCCATAATTTAAACTGTGTATATTGAGGGAGTAGAATCTAAGGAATAACTTTGGGTTGTCTCCTTCAGCCCCTGCCTGACCTGCTGAAATATTCATAAACCCAATTTAAGATTCTGTATTCTGTGAGAGAACAAGAAATGAGTGTTGAAATATCTTCTGCTTCTTTTGTGAGGTGGATGCTTCAGTTCTGATAAGGTTTTCATGGTATCTTTGTGAGAAATCAGCAACCAAAGCCAAACATCCACAGTATATATTATTATTAGTCACTTTTAATGATTTAAAGTGTTCATTAAATGTATAAGAAATTTTAAATTATCAAGTCTACTGGGAAGAATTTCTGCATTTTTGTTTTCTCCAAATGTCTGAATTAAATGACAAATTAAAGAAAATAAAGATGAGAAAAATCTTAATAGAGTTAATGAGTGTCTGAAAGTTCACATTCCTACTCTCACCTGTGACCAGTATCATGTGCAAGCACATACAACACATGCATAAAGAAACGGACATTCTTCCCCAAAGAAACTAAAATCTCACTGTCCAGAGATCATTTTTGTTGTTCTCACATTTTTGCTTCTCTGAATTGTTTGGTTCATGGGATATGTGGTCTGAGGGTGTAGGCTGGTCCTAAGTATAAGTAAAGAATAAGTAAAGAATCAGCTGTTCCTGGTGGTCTGCACTCTACAATGCAGTTTCTTCCTACCGATAACCCCATTGAGCTGAACCAGATGATATTTCTTCACAAACTGTGCACTGCCTTTTGTAGAAAGAACCTTCAGTCTGGGAAGCAGGTTGCTTTTTCAATGCAGCATTGAACCAAGACTGATATGTCCTGTTTCTCATAAATCATCTCAGTGAGGTTAATTAGCCCAGGCACAGTACTGTGCTTAAGCAGAGGTAGCTGTGCCAGCTCAGTGTGGTGCTGCAATGCGCATTGTAGGTTGACCTCTGGTATTGAGGTGGGAGGTCAGATGAGTTAGATGGCAATACATATTTTAAATCTGAGATACAGTCTCCTTGCCAAATTTTAATTCTCAGTGAAGACTTTATGTTCTAGATATCTTGGAGGTCTACAAATAAAAATGTAGTTTGCACTTGTAGGAAGTTAGCGAGATAATCATACAAAACTGTACATTTTTTGCTTTGCATGCAAAACCTGAACATTTTTGCATATGTGAATTCATTAAGTAGCAAGTCACTGTGAAATATATTACTTTACACTCTTTTCTTCTACTAATGAGATGTTACCAAAGGCAATAACCTCTCCTTTTCTAACAACACTGATTTACGATCAAAGTTTACATATTCATAGCAGTTTCATGGTGTAGCTGCTCCCCCAAAAAAAGCCATTTTTATTTGCTAATATAAACAGAAATACCATATGACTGCAACACCACAGAGCTGAATCACTGATTTTGTAATTAAAAATTTGGGGGGTTTATGCATTAATATTTATAATCACGAGTTATAAGTGCAACTCTATACTGTATGAATTCAGATTTTATACATGTAGTGAAGTATATAACGTTCTTTCAGTGTTGGAAGCTACAAGAATAGACCAGTCACTGCTTTCCACCCCCAACACCAGCAGTAGGAAAGCTTTCATTTACTGATGGACAGTTATAGCTTTTGAACACCTTTGGTGGATCACACAGTAACATGTGATTTACTGTTACTCAGCAAAAAAACCCGCAAAATAATCTTGTAAGGCACGTGTCATGGCTTATTTTTACTTCTGAGTTATAGATGGCCATACTTTGTCTATAGACTGTCTTAAATGCTGTCCTTGTGCCCCACTGATAACTAACAGAGAATGTCCTTCAGCTTCAGTGAAGGATATCACTGTGTTTGAAACCTGGGTTCTAGAGCTCCAAGGTGTGTGCACAAAGATTAACCAACTGTTTGTATGTAGTTGAGACCTGATTTGATCAATGAAAGCAATTCACTCAAATATTTCAGTTCCAGAAAAGAAATCTATATTGAAGTGTAAGAAAGTAAAATTTAAAATAACCAAAGAATCTATATAGCTATGACCTTTTCCATTTTCCTTCATTATGATATCTATTTCAACTCTTAAGAGCTGTTAATGAGCCCTTCAGCTTCTTGCATTCTGGGGAAGACCATTTAGAATCCAGAGCCCACCCAAAGAATATATAAATAAAGGCATGCGATTTAGCCTTGATAATAAAAAATAATAATACATACTTTTGTAGCACAGATAATTTAATAACTTACATTGTCCCCATGTTTACAATTTATATTTTTATTCTTTGACACATTATAGATCATGGAAGTCTTTGTTCTTATTTTGTATATGTAGTGGCTACAGCAACATTTGAAGAATATAACTCTATATCAATTAATTTGGAGGGTAAAATTTCTGTAAAATAAGAATGGTTTCTTTAAAGAATTTACAGTCAATTTGGAAATGTTTTAAATCTTTTACAGATTTTGTGATGAAAAATACAAGTTTGTCATTTTGTACCTGAAGTCAGCCTTCAGGCACAGCAATAGTTTTGATCCTGAAAATTACACTAATAGATGTCACACAGCATGTATTGAAGTGTGATGTTATGGAAATAAATAAAAGCATAGATTTAAAAATCATAGGATGAGAAAGTCTTTCAGGATTGCAAGGTGTCTCATAGAAACCTTTGAGATATATTGGTACACTAGCTGAAGCAAAGAAGGTATTTCATACGATTATGTCAATAGCTACATGGTATGAAATACTACCTTCTTCACTGAGATTTAGGACAACATAAAAACACAGTAAACAGCATACAGAAGAGATATTTTACAAATGCATTTATTTTTTCTTAACAAGGTAAAAGGAATATATTAATGTTAGAGGAAGTTGCCAGGTACCAAAACAAATAAAAGAATTCAAAAATAATGAAACTTCCCTTTTAGCAGTTGTCATTGGTAAATCACTGAGGCAATTCTGATTATGATTTATTTTTTCCCTAATGGAAGCAAAGCCTCTTTTTACAATACTTAGAAAACTTCATCACTGATATAAATCCTTTGATTTGCAATACACTGGCAATAAGTTGACCTATTTACACATAAATTACTTATTTCTGATAATAATTTTGAGATACATAAACATTAGAATAAAGATACAGAAATACTGGTTCTAGAAAGAATTTGAAGAAACATGTTCTGTGGTAACTACCTTCTCTGATTTTTCTTTTACAGTGCAAGACGTATGCCTGTGTTTTGGAGAGTCATCTTATGGGACTTACTATTGACTTTAGCATGGGCTTTGTCTGTTTTGATGCTGCCACAAAGGTAAAGTTCTAAGACTTGTTTCCATCACATCATTATTATTATTCTTCGTTATTTCATATATTTTGGGATAAGTAGTGCATCCTTAAAATGTACTTCTTTTTGTTATCGCAACAGATCATCTCTTGTCAAATCTCTCGTGCTTTAGTCTAAACTCAGAGGGGATTTCTAAATGATGTGAGAAGTTGTGTTCTGTTATGTGCTTGTTATTGAAAAGTCAATGCTAATATCAATCTGAAACACGCATCAAGTCTTCATTCTTTAATTTCACGTGAAAGCCCAGACTGATTCAGTTTGATGTTTCTTTCGCTGGTGCATCCTTGGTTTTGAGATGAAATAGTCTTGGTTTCAAGCTGATATGTGAGCTTTGAAAAGAACCTGCCTTTCTCTTCTGTTTCATGGGTGGGAGTGTGTGTTATTACAGCAATTCTCAGTTTATGTTTCAGATATTTTTGTTCAGGTGTCTGTAAAAAGAGAAATCAGCCATGGTCTGTATGTCTTATGCTTTTCCCGTCAGCCTTAAAAAAGCTCAGTACAACTGATGGAATAGTTCGCTATATCAAGTGAACAATATGGCATCAATTTCCAGATTAAATTAATGCAGGTCCAAATCTCAGTAAAATCATCAAGAGCCTTCATATGTTTGCATTTGTACTAATTGCTAACAAATACTAAAATGTAAGCAGGCTTTATTGCTACTACTTGACACTGCTGTTATGGGAGAATGTGAAATATTTTTTCTGAGTTCCACTTCTCTTCAATACCTGTTTTCCTTTGAGATGCTGCAGCATTGCCACCAGCAATTGCTGAAAATGCCCTTTTCTCTCCAGAATATGCTCCTATCCTCTATCTTAAGTCAATCCTTCTCACCACATTACTCCACCAGTCAGAACCCTTTTACTCTTCCCACTCCATTCTACTGTTTGCACAAAGTGTGGTGAATTTAAAATAAAAATACTTGTGTATACATATTTCTTTTTGTTACGCGAGTAGTCTTGTATGATTCATCAGTGAAATACATGAACGTCAACTTAGGAGGTATTACACAAAAAATCAGTGCAACAGAATTAAAATGCAGTGGCTCAGAAAAAACCACGTAGGTTTCCCCCCACACTCCAATAATATTATAGCAATGCTTTTGTATAAAGGTAATTTGCATCTCCTTCAAAGCTCTTGCACGTGTCTGATTCTCAAAAGACTTCAGACTCTTTCAAAGACATTATCTGCAGTACAAGTGTACACTAAATTTCAAATAGCAAAAAACAAGCACAGCTGCCTTCATACATGTTCCCATGGCTGAAGGGTGTGGTACCCTTTTGGTATGTCCTTAGAACATGTACAGCAGGTTTCCAGATACAGAAAAAAGCTCTAGTAGAGGTATAACTTCACTGTCTTTCTTTCTCAAATAAGTCATTGTGCCTTTCCAGTTGTGCAAAATTGCTGGAGGCATTACCTCGGTGAACCATAGGACTTATAAAGCAGATTCTTCTTTGCCCTCACAAATAGATTTTTAATATTTTTTTTCTTTCATAGCAAAGAGCAGAAAAAATATATCAAGTATTAAAATTGACTACTGAAACACTAGGGCAATTGTTAGCATTGCCAGCAGATTTGCATTCAGCTGTTCTCTCCTTTTCCTGCTGCCCCATGTTGCCTACAAGGTCACATAAGTAGTACTAGAAATACATGATAAAATCCAACACTAAAACAAGTAGAGCAAAAAATTAGCATCTAACTTCCATTTCAAGCCAGAAGAGTCCTTACTGGGTAGGTTGGGAACCTACTCAAACTAAAACCACGCTGCACACCAAGTAGAAGATCCACAATGCCAGACCACTGGAGTGAAGCTTTGATGACTTGATGACAACCAGAAGAAAGCCAAGAAGGAATTCTCCAACTTCCAGGTTGAGCTTGAGATGTCCCATAAAGCATTGTAAGAGTATGAGACAATTTTACTTTTTCCTTTCCCCTTCATCTGTAAAGCCATGAAACCATGGACTGAATCTGTTCCTTCTGGGGTGGCATCTAGCCTCAGCATCCAAAAAGTTCTGAAATTTTAAGCCAAACATTAACCACAGCTGAGCGTCTGGCGATCTTGAGGGTCTAAATACTGATGAAAGAGGACACATTTACAGAATCTGAAAGAGGTTTCATCAAAGTGTGAAAGGGTAGCAGATGTCTGAAGGGATTTCCTTCAGGAAGGGAAAGGTGTAGTAGCCCACAAAACATTTATTGCACCCAGACCAGCCTTAGAAATCACTCAGTTGGTACCACTCATTCACCACACTTACATACAGGCTGCAAGGATGAGCAGGGGGCTCCTGCTGATCTGTCAAATCTATCACCACCACCCCTAATATGTCACTGTGGTCCTCAAAGCTCATGACACAACCTGGGACCTGCATGCTGTGGCAGAAGAGATTCCCCCTGAAAGAATACTCTTTCCCATTTTTCAGTGCTTATATCCTGGTTTCCCTTCCACCTTTTCCACTTGCACTGTCTGTGTTTTCTCTGTATTTCTTGCACTTTCTGTGTTTTCATTTTAGATTGATAAAATCAATTTTGCCTTAATGCTTGCAGATTTTTCTTTTAAAGGTGGGGTTTTATTTTCCTGAATGGAGGGACGGACCATGCTGGTAAAGTTCAGGAGTCAGTACATGGAGAATCCTGAAGGTTTCAGGGCTTGTTTCATTTTTCTTTGATACAGAAAGACAGGCAAGCAGACAGTACAGTTTAAGATAAAGGCACCGTGTTAAAAGTGCCTGATCTATTAGATAGCATGCATACCAGAGATATGCCACATACTAATCCATTCAGTAGGCATGGAGAACCTATACATTGGAAATTCAAGAAAATAAATGGATAGCAATAACAGACTATTAAATACATTACAGACTTACAATATGAAGACCTCAAGACCTTTTTTTTTTTTCACACTTATAAATCCAGACCTCCCAAAATGGGTCCTTGAAAGCATAAAACCCCCAAAATCATAAATACTTTAGTTCTATAAGCAGTATACAAAAGCTTCTTGGAGAATGTTTTTCTGGCAATTGTCATTAAGAGCTGTGTGTCACATATGCTAATAATACTGTCTTGCAGGTCTTCCTATAACTGTTCACCAGTGTTTGGGAAAACTCCTTCATTCATTTCACAAATGTTTCATGGAACATATAATGCAATTCTTTCAGTGCCCCAAAACTCTTTATATTCTTCTGTTACAAATTAAAAAGCACATCATCTAGAAATAAAAAAAGTCTAACAAAACCAACAAAGACAGTGCAGCTTCCTTCAAAGTTAAGGTTTTGTACACACAAATACAGATACACATTTTTGTGACTTGAATGGAAGTTGTACATAAGCAAATCAAATGAGAAACTCCCAAGTTTTCTGAGCAGATAGAACAGTATTTATGTTGTCAACAGATTCCTTGAAAAATGTTTTCAGACTTCTGATATATAGTCCCTTAAGTAAATTGCATAAGCGTAAGTAAACTACTGCATAACATTCACAAAGAGGTTTTACACAGAAAATGTTTACATAAAAAAGAAGTGCAAGTATTATTTTTAACTTCTCTGTGTATTATTTTTAAGCAGATTGTGCTACCGTAAAACTTTCAGTGTTGTGAGGAGAATGCCGTTAGTATCCTTAGAAACCTACCTGCAGTGTTGCACCTTAATTAGTTTGTATGTTAGAATAAAGTATAGTTAGTACCATGGACAAAAAAGAGGACATACTGGGTTTTAGGTAATTAGGCATTAGGCAGTGTGAGGTGATAAGGATAGCTCTAGTGCAATTGCATTAGAAGAGAAGAGAAACACTACTGTATAATGCAACATAATCTGTTGCCATGTGACTGCTACAGTTGAAATTGTCAAGCAAGCCATAGGATGAAAACTTGTCTCAAACCTACCCTAAGTGTGTCAACCACATTTTAATGAGTACCTAAATAGGAAAACCATTACCTACTCTCCATCATTTTATGGAAAGATAAAGGTGGCAATTCTCTCAGCCAAAAATTTGTTCAGATACCTTCATTATGATAATGGCAGGTGTAGGTTGTGTCTATGCTGGTGATGATCTTCAACAATATTGCTGTACTCACACAAACTAAAACATAAACTAGAAGTATTTAGTCACATAAACTAAAAGTATTATTTCTCCACCTAATGAAGGAGTTCATATGAAGCAGGAGTTCAAAATCTCTTTTCCAAGAAAGATCTGAAAAAACAATGAAAAATGGAAAACAGTTTGCAGGACAAGGAAAACATGAGTAAAAATTAAATTAAATTAGCTATATCTTATTAATATTTACATACACATTTGTGCATTAAGACTGTACAAATTCCTAGAAACTGTCACATGAATTAACAAACTCAATATTAAAGACAAAAAAGCTATTTAAAATGTCATAATGTTCATGAAAAAAATATTTGTATCTAATTCTTCATAAATGGTATGAAATTTTACAATAAGTATTTGAAAAATTAGTACAAACTTTTATCTTTTCACTTCCAATGATGGGACATCCACAACTTCTTGGGGCAACCTGTTCCAGTGTCTCACCACCCCATCATAAAAAATTTCTTCCTTATGTCCAATTTAAACCTACCCTCTTTTAGTTTAAAAAACATTGCCCCTTGTCCTGTCACTGTAGGCCTTGGTAAAAAGTCCCTCTCCAAGCTTTCTTGTAGGCCCCCTTTATGTACTGGAAGGCTGCAATAAGGTCTTCCTGGAGCCTTCTCTTCTCCAGGCTGAACAACCCCAAGTCTCTCAGCTTTTCTTCACAGGAGAGGTGCTCCAGCCCTCTGATCATCTTCGTGGCCCTCCTCTGGACCCGCTCCAACAGGTCCATGTCTTTCTTGTACATGTTCACTTTATTATTTTGCCACTACTCATATCAAATTCAAGCACTCTTTTGGGTAAATCTTAACTCAAAGCCATATTCTATAGACTTCAGAGTTCAATGTCAGATAATTTATGCAGTCCATCTCTCACTTCTT